CCCCGCCTCCTCCCCTGCTGCCGACCACCGAACCCCGCCTCCTCCTCCACTGCCGGGTCCAGCCTGCTCCACCGCCGCTGCCGGCTCTCATTGACTCTGGAGAGGAACGCGCTGCTGCACAGATTACTGTCAGCGATCTGAACAGCGGCACGTTCCTCTTCACAGCCGCCAGCAGAGGATCCCATAGCGACCCAGGCGGCCCGCACGGCATCTGGCCGGGCCCCCACTGTGCCCCGGGCCCCATAGCGGCCGCCTGGGTCGCTATGGTGATGGTTACGCCACTGTTCCCTACCTACCCATACATCATTCTGTTGCCCCCACTAAGGCATAGCTGCCACACCCTCCCCCCTCGATAAGGAAAGCCTGTGCGGTCACATGACCATTGAATGAGGGTAGCATTTATGGGAAGTGCAACCTTTATTTTTAGCAACGGCACTTTAGATTGATTTAGGAATTTGTGCTCCATGGGGCTGCTAGTTCTGGAGGTGCACAGGTACATGGTGATCGGCAGGGAAGCAATCCGGGTTAAGGCCGACCATGAAGACCATGAAGACCATGAAGTTGACCCAATCCCAAGTGAACAATTTTTCCAGTTTGGCAATCTCCACTTGTGTCCCAGCAGACAATGACACCGTGCGGCCCACGCAGCATCATTGGTTGACTGGTGGCTAAGCCGTACGGCGCCATTGGTTGATAGGACGCAGGTGGGCTGGGCTCAAGGTACTCCGGGTATTACCCCCCCAAATTCTGCCATTGCTGTCATCTGATTGTTGATCTGTATAAACCATCAATAACATTTTAGAGTTTTGGGGGGGGGGGTGGAGGAGTTTGGGGTGGAGGAACGTGACTGGCCGCACAGAGTCCTGACCTCAACCCCGTAGAACACCTTTGGGATGAATTAGAGCGGAGACTGCGAGCCCCTCCCCCAACATCAGTACCTGACCTCACAAATGGTCCAACATTCCCATAGACACACTCCTAAACCTTGTGGACGCCTTCCCAGAAGAGGCGGAGCTGTTAAAGCGGCAAAGGGCGGAGCCAACCCAATACTGAACCCTACGGACTAAGACTGGGATGCCATTAGAGTTCATGTGCGTGTAAAGGCGTCCCAATACTTTTGGCAATATAGTGTAATTGTGCTCCATGGGGCTGCCAGTTCTGGAGGTGCACAGGTACATGGTGATCGGCAGGGAAGCAATTCGGGTTAAGGCTGACCATGAAGACCATGAAGACCATGAAGACCATGAAGACCATGAAGACCATGAAGACCATGAAGACCATGAAGACCATGAAGTTGACCCAATCCCAAGTGAACAATTTGTCCAGTTTGGCAATCTCCACTTGTGTCCCAGCAGACAATGACACCGTGCGGCCCACGCAGCATCATTGGTTGACTGGTGGCTAAGCCGTACGGTGCCATTGGTTGATAGGACGCAGGTGGGCTGGGCTCAAGGTACTCCGGGTATTACCCCCCCAAATTCTGCCATTGCTGTCATCTGATTGTTGATCTGTATAAACCATCAATAACATTTTAGAGTTTTGGGGGGGGGGGTGGAGGAGTTTGGGGTGGAGGAACGTGACTGGCCGCACAGAGTCCTGACCTCAACCCCGTAGAACACCTTTGGGATGAATTAGAGCGGAGACTGCGAGCCCCTCCCCCAACATCAGTACCTGACCTCACAAATGGTCCAACATTCCCATAGACACACTCCTAAACCTTGTGGACGCCTTCCCAGAAGAGGCGGAGCTGTTAAAGCGGCAAAGGGCGGAGCCAACCCAATACTGAACCCTACGGACTAAGACTGGGATGCCATTAGAGTTCATGTGCGTGTAAAGGCGTCCCAATACTTTTGGCAATATAGTGTAATTGTGCTCCATGGGGCTGCCAGTTCTGGAGGTGCACAGGTACATGGTGATCGGCAGGGAAGCAATTCGGGTTAAGGAAGACCATGAAGACCATGAAGACCATGAAGACCATGAAGACCATGAAGACCATGAAGACCATGAAGTTGACCCAATCCCAAGTGAACAATTTGTCCAGTTTGGCAATCTCCACTTGTGTCCCAGCAGACAATGACACCGTGCGGCCCACGCAGCATCATTGGTTGACTGGTGGCTAAGCCGTACGGTGCCATTGGTTGATAGGACGCAGGTGGGCTGGGCTCAAGGTACTCCGGGTATTACCCCCCAAATTCTGCCATTGCTGATTTCCGGCCTGTCATCGATGAATCTTTCTGATTGTTGATTTGTATAAACCATCAATAAAATGTTAGAGTTTTGCTGCCTTAACCATGAGAACCAGCCAATGGGCTGCCTGCATTGTGTAAGGACCTCCTAATTCTACTTTTGTGGGAGGGACTTAGTAAAAAAAAAAGGGGATATAATTGGTTAGCTGCCCCTCCGTATGTCCCATCAGACATGAATATTGTAAAAGAATATGGAAGTGACAGCCATGTTGGTCCTCCGGCTTCACAGCAAGGATAGCCATGGCTGTGACAGTTTCCTATCATAGAAAATTCGGACCATTGTGTTCTGTGAAGTGACGGACGGCCATGACTTCATCTACATGGCTACGTCTCAGCTCCAGCCAAGGCTCAGAAAATGTGTTTGTATGGCTGCCTCTGACTCCACTGGGGGGGATTTTCCACCAGGAAGTGGGGGAATTGTCTCTCACTTCCTGTTCTGACAAACATCAATAGACAGGAAGTGGGAAAGTGTCTCTGATTTCCTGTTCTATCTGACAACCATCAATGATACAGGAAGTGGGTAAATTGTCTCTCATTTCCTGTTCTATCTGACAACCATCAATGATACAGGAAGTGGGTAAATTGTCTCTCATTTCCTGTTCTATCTGATAACCATTAATGAGACAGGAAGTGGGAAAGTGTCTCTGATTTCCTGTTCTATCTGACAAGCATCAATGAGACAGGAAGTGGGTAAATTGTCTCTGATTTCCTGTTCTATCTGACAACCATCAATGATACAGGAAGTGGGTAAATTGTCTTGATTTCCTGTTCTATCTGACAACCATCAATGAGACAGGAAGTGGGGAAACTGTCTCTCATTTCCTTGCACTGCTTGTATTAGATAATCCTCTGGGCTGGGAGACCGCGGCTGCCTCTGATAACCTCCTTCTGAAACTGCTATTTTCCTGGCTGTGTCCGACGATGACACTGACCTGACCCGCCACACGGCAAGTCACATCCTAATCTGTGTACTCATTCTGGTGAATATCAAAGTACCAAAGCCATTGGACTAGCATGACAGCCCCAGTGACTGGTCCTTACAGATGGAGAGGTCGGTCACATGACTTGGTGCTGAGATTAAATAAGAGCAGAATTTGTATATTTTTGGGGGGTACATTCATTACAGGAAATAAACTCTAATTTGACATTTGACCCTTTTAACCCTTTCACCGCCGGGGCCGTGTTATGTTGATCACACATTTTGCACAGTACCCAAAATTGCCCATAGACGACGCTTTAATAGTGACGTGTGGTGCAGTCAGCGGTCGATCAGCTTGTACCCCGGCCAGAGATCGACAACCCTGAACCTGGAAGTGATCAGAGCTGAGCGCCTCCATGTGCAGACTTTATTCCCAAGTCTCCCCATCATGAACACCCACTATGGAGGGGAGGGACAGGTGTGCCCAGGACACACGGGGGGGATGGACAGGTGTTCCCAGATCACACAGAGGAGAGGGACAGGTGTTCCCAGGACACAGGGAGGGGAGGGACAGGTGTGCCCAGGACACATGGAGGGGAGGGACAGGTGTGCCCAGAACACACGGAGGGGAGGGACAGGTGTGCCCAGAACACATAGTGGGGAAGGACAGGTGTGCCCAGAACACATAGTGGGGAGGGACAGGTGTGCCCAGGACACATGGAGGGGAGGGACAGGTGTGCCCAGAACACACAGAGGGGAGGGACAGATGTGCCCAGAACACACGGAGGGGAGGGACAGGTGTGCCCAGAACACATAGTGGGGAAGGACAGGTGTGCCCAGAACACATAGTGGGGAGGGACAGGTGTGCCCAGGACACATAGTGGGGAGGGACAGGTGTGCCCAGGACACATGGAGGAGAGGGACAGGTGTGCCCAGAACACATAGTGGGGAGGGACAGGTGTGCCCAGGACATATGGAGGGGAGGGGCAGGTGAGCCCACAACACTGACCACCTGAGAACCCCACTGGCGACCTGAGAGCCCGCACTGGCCTCCTGAGAACCCCACTGGCGACCTGAGAGCCCGCACTGGCCTCCTGAGAGCCCACACTGACCACCTGAGAACCCACACTGACCACCTGAGAACCCACACTGACCACCTGAGAGCCCACACTGACCACCTGAGAGCCCACACTGACCACCTGAGAGCCCACACTGACCACCTGAGAGCCTCACTGACCACCTGAGAGTCCCACTGACCACCTAAGAGTCCCACTGACTACCTGAGAGTCCCACTAGCCACCTAAGAGTCCCACTGACCACCAGAGAGCCCCACTGGCCACCTGGGAGCATCCTAATATATTACAATGTAATAATAATAGAAATAAAGAAATGCACTTGAATCTTCCCAAAACTGCCCCAACGCATACCACTCCCCCTCCCCCCTTTCCATGGAAACATTTTCTTCCACAAAACCGATCCCTGGTGTCACAAAGTTTGGGGATCGCTGCTCTAAAGGGATTGTTACAATCCGGGTCTGTTTAATTTTCACTGTTCTTGTCACATCCTGTCCTGGAGACACAGCAGGAAGTGACAAGAAATCTCTACAAAGTGAGAGGAAGTGGTCACAGAATCAGGTGTCCCCCTTGGAAGATTAACCCTCTATTCCTGTTCTGGTGACAACTGTAACATTTTGGATTTCCCCTCCACTTTTTACCTCGGTGACACCAGGATGAAAGGAGGGGGAATCTCTCTACAGTGATACAAAGTGAGAGGATTTCCCCTCTTAGGCAGTTGTCACCACAACAGCTGCCCCCAGTGGAAGACTTCCCCTCACTTCCTGCTCTGGTAACAGCTGTCCATTTGGATTTCCCATCACTTCCTTTCCAGTGGTCACTGGGACAAATACAGAGGTTGAATCCCCCCAGTGGGGACACACACAGCAATAGAAGCCTGACGGGGGATCTAACACTTCCGCACTCCATCCATCTAAAGGAAAGATACATTGTAACCATCTCCTCATTGGCTGGTGACATTCCGCATTGTTGTCCCCACTTCCCAGGGAGCGGGTGGGAATTTCCCGGTGACCCCGCACGGCTCAGGTCAGGAAGGGGTTACAGACTGCTGCGGCACATTTCATCCACTAGATGGCGAGCTCAGCTGCCAAATGACCAATCAGCTCCCAGAAAGAGAAGCTTTTTCCTTCAATTCTTTTCATTGAAAAGGTTAATTCCAGAAGCTGAGAGGAGGAGGAAGAGCAGCAACTGAGCAACAACAACACCACTGAGTGCAAAGTACCCCCGGGGCTGGAGGAGAGCTGCTGGAGGGCAGTGCTGGGGTAGAGTGTCAGCAGTGCTGGGGTAGAGTGTCAGCAGTGCTGGGGTAGAGTGTCAGCCGTGCCGGGGTAGAGTGTCAGCTGTGTTGGGGTAGAGTGTCAGCCGTGCCGGGGTAGAGTGTCAGCTGTGCTGATGTAGAGTGTCAGCTGCGCCGGGGTAGAGTGTCAGCTGTGCCGGGGTTGAGGAGAGCTGCTTGAGGGCAGTGCTGGGGTAGAGTGTCAGCAGTGCTGGGGTAGAGTGTCAGCCGTGCCGGGGTAGAGTGTCAGCCGTGCCGGGGTAGAGTGTCAGCCGTGCCGGGGTAAAGTGTCAGCTGTGCTGATGTAGAGTGTCAGCTGTGCCGGGGTAGAGTGTCAGCTGTAGAGTCAGCTGTGCCCGGGGTAGAGTGTCAGCTGTGCCGGGGCAGAGTGTCAGCTCTGCAGGGGAATCGGTGTGCTCGGCGCTGTCACATTGAAGGACGGCTCTGTACAGTTTACGAGGAGAGGCTTCCGTCCATTCACACAAGTCACCGACGTCTTCTGGAGCGTGGGATTAGAGTGTCAGCTCTGCGGCCGGGTAAGTCATATTCATGTCCTGTCTCCAGCGCAGTCTCAGCGTTCCATGACAGGTCACCTGATCTTAAAGGAGAGCTCCAGACCGAGCACAATGTGACCAAAATCCTAAAATAGACACTCAGAATATTTGTTGTCTATGTGGGGGGGTGAAGGGGGCTGTGGTCTCGCCCCCGGGGCTCTGATCCCGCCCCCCCCGATACACACAGCGCCGGGTGTCGTCTTCGGGCCGCACAGCTTTATTTAAAGTTTATTTACAGACACCAAAACAGGGAAAATCGTCCAATGGGGACACCCGATCCTGTGACAGATTCCTCTCACTTCCTGTTACTTCTCCAGTTTATGTTCTTCTGTACGGAACTCTCTCAATACATTGAAATTAAGTTTTATTTATCTGAACTAAAAATAATGATTTCCTGGCTGCCTCTGATTCCAGAACCATTCTGAGCCACCAAGAAGCATGCAGCCAGTGAAGACAGAACTCCTCCAGACTCTATTACCTGGTCTGATATCGGGCCTGGGGCAAATGCCCTTTATGCTTCCTGGCTGAGACAG